TGTTAAGGGGTGTCCAAACAAGACACTACCAAACGGACGACTCCGACAAATCGTGAAAATTGAAGCGGGCGCGCCCGCTTCAAGCCCACTTCAATTTTCACGATTTGTCGGAGTCGTGCGTTTTGTAGTGTCCTGTTTGGACACCCCTTTTAGCGCCGCGATTGCGAAAACGTCTTCGAAACGACCGCGGCCGCCGCGGAAAGGGGATTCCCGGGCAGTTGAATGAACGAAAGGCATCCGCCGATCCCGGAGCAATGGTCATGTTCCACGGGGAATCTGTAGGCGGCGCGACCCCGTTCGGATCGTGTGCTCCATTCCGGATCTGGTCAACTGATCCCGGCGCGCTCCAAAACGCCCAATGGAATTCGCCATGAGTGAAGTAATGGCGGCTGTAAGACCAGTGCCAATAAGTGCCTTATAAGTTTATTGTGTCAAATAGCTCGTCAGCGAGAGTAAAACAACTACTCTGCGGCGACTTGACCGTATACGATATTTGCTGCCATTTCCGTAAAAAACTGATGCAACTCCGATTACCCCTGGAGTAATGCATACCAGTTAAAAAACACTGTATAGGGAATGAAAGGGCATCATGAAAGATTGTGTTAAAAGTTCTTGTACTTCATCTTGAAATATATTGTATTTAAATACGTTACCTGAAGTACATTGCACGCGGCGTACTTAATGCCTTACTTGAAGTACATAACCTCTTATTTATATTGTACTATACTTCAAGTACTTTATAGGTGTACTTTAGGCAACACTGTAAACAAGCGAACACTGTCTAAAAGTCAAGCTGAGACAGTGCTAAACCTCAAAGTTGAAATGTCTCATTCGCAGTACACCATTGACCAAACAGACAAGAAAGTGCAAAGTAATTAGGCTCGCGGAAGCAGAACCAGCTATTAAAGTATATCTGTGAAATAACGAGCCGATCCATATTTGGCTAGCACAATTTCGCTAACGGATCAAAACCCCCTGTACTTTCTTTGAACCATAAAAAACATATAAAAGTAACTTCAAAAGTAATTTGCTACTTTTTTACGGTTACTAGTAATCTTCTCAGTTACTTTCTCTTTGAGTAATTTCTATTCTACTCAATACTCAGTAACTTAATTACTTTTTTTGAGTTACTTGTACATGTCTGGTGATGAGTCCCAGGAAGCTACGGAAGAGGTTTATCGGGTGCTTCCACGACTCGGCACTGGCAGGTCATTACTTACTTATGATTAGGACATAAATGAAAACATGAAGACATCTTTTACACGAGAGAAAACTTGATTAGTGCCATTATTTAATGCAAGACTTTTCATAAGTTATGCCGCGCCGCGACCTGGCCGGGGATGAGGCAAGGCGCACTCCGATACGCCCGCAGCTGTCCAGCCTGCCAGAAAGCGAAGCCCAGAGTGGGAAAACCTTCGGGCTTGATGCAGTCGGTGGAGAGTCACTACCAGTGGGAGCTCGTCGCTTGCGACATCATTGGCCCACTGCCGAGAAGTCTGTGGGGAAACCAGTATTTCTTGGTTATTACCGATCATTTTGGGCAGAGTTGTACCCACCGAGGAAGCTGGTTTCAGAGCGGATCTGGGAAAAGTTACTAGATACTTTCCTACGCTTCGGCACACCCAGGTGTCTCATTAGTGATAACGCTAGTTATTTTACTATAATAAATAATAATAATAATAAATGTCTTTATTTTGCGAACAGTTTACAGTTGGATTGTGAAAAGGGAAAAAAAGCTGTAGCACAGCTTGATTAGTCCCGAGCCACCTAAATAGCTTTTGAGACGCGGGCACCAAATTATTTATATATGATTAGGACATAAATGAAAACATGAAGACATCCTTTACACGAGAGAAAACTTGATAAGTGTCATTATATAATGCAAATTCAATTTGAACAGACTAGCAATAGTAGACAAAACGCGACAAAACGAAAACTTCAACCCCCAAAAATTAACTTTTCTTCAATACTTTCTGGTTTGAGATGAGTATATAAACACTTAGCTTTTATTAGGTTTGGTTTGAGATGAGTATGATTAATTCCCGTAAGCTGCTCACTGAAAAATTGTTAAGTTTTATATTTTCCCTACTGAACTGATTCAGTGTACTTGGAAGGGTGTATTATTGGAGTGTATTGTCCGTAATTAGTTCTAAAGAATGGTACTTCCCATGGTTCCACAGTTCGCGTTGGATATGCACATACTTCTTAATATCTTTGAAGATTGGTATATGTACTAGTAAAGTGTTCGTGGACTCCTGCTTGGCGCTGCACATAAAGCACAAGAGGACAACACCGTACCATCCCCAAGCCAATCATGGGCGGATCCAGAACTCAATTTGGGGGGGGGGGGGGGGGGGGGGGCGGAAAATTTGTAAGCATACTATTCTCCCATTCTTTCGTGTGCTCCGGGGGGTTCACCCATGTTCAATTGCCCTCCGAGAAGGGGGAAGGGGGGGGGGGGGGGAGTCGACTTTGTTTGGGGGGGGGGGGGGGCGCCTCCGTCGCCCCCCCCCCCCCTGGATCCGCCCCTGACGCCAGTATCACTGAGCGAGTGAATCGGAATTTCAAGTGCATGCTGATCGCGCTAACGGAGATACACCGAGACTGAGATGAGCACATCGCTGAGATGGGTTTTACCATTCGGAATACCGCGAACAGATCGACTGGTTTCACGCCAGCGTTCCTGAACCTGGGTAAAGAGATACCGTGTCCGCTGGAGAACGAGTTACGGAGCATCCAAGGAACACCATGACGCTTGCTTTCTAGGTAGGCAGAGCAGCTAACGAACCGCTTGTCTGGGGCGCTGCACGATGCTAGAGAAAATCTCGATGCCGCAAGGATCGAGCAAGTGGCGCAGTATGACAAGAGCCATAGGCACTTGGAATTCAATGTTGGTGACTTGGTTTTGAGAAGAACCCACCATCTAAGTAACGCAGCTAGCGGTTTCGCCGCATCGCTTTCTCAGAGATGGGAAGGGCCCCATGAGGTAAAGACGTGAATGTCGCGGCTTACTTATAAACTCGCTCGGTGTGATACAAATGAGGAGTCGGGTCCAGTTCACATCACGAACTTTAAGGGGTACGACCGTCGCGATGGGGGAAGATAGTAAATGAAAAACTACCGCGCCGCGACATCCAGCCGCAGAAAGTAATGATTTTCCAGTGTTCTAACAGTGTTCTTTCTACACAGGGTTACTCCTTGGAGAAGCCGTCCCAGAGGGCCCAACCCAGGAGGCCCACCGAACGGGCCAGTCCCCGGAGAGGGAAGGCACGGATCCGGTCGACCAAACCCTCGCGGCGGCCGACCAAGGAGGCGTCAACACCGAGGTCGGCCCAATGGCGGAACTGGCCAACGCCGCCTTGGCTCTGCAGGCACCGCGAGCCCGGCAGCAAGGACGCCTGCGTGGCACGGGACAACCCCGTCCGTAATAACATCGCGGCACGGGGTCTGCCCCGTGCCGACGGAGCGGGTGTGTATGCGATGGGGGGACCTGCCTGAAATCGGCCCCCTTTCCACACCGTGGCCATGTGGACGGCGTGGGAGAAAGGAAGGGCTGTCCACTTCGTCTCTCGCCGGCGTCGGAAGAAGCAACCCAGACCACGCCCGGCCAGCTCGACCATGAAGTTTCACACCCGTTCCGTGTCCACACGCAGCCGTTGGCGCCACGGATCTCGGGAGCGCCGGATACTTGCTGGGTGTCCGGGACCCCAATCAAACATCTGGAAACCCACGAAGCAGGTCGACTCCACCTCGACCTGAGGAATGCACGGCCCCTCTCGGACAGCGTGGCGGCAGCGGTCCAGACCCTGAGAGCAAGCCGCCAGGACCTTCTGGCTCCCGCTGCCTTAACCTCCGTTCAGCCAGCCCGGCCTTTCGAGAACCGTGCCGCCGCACCAGTTGCCGCAGCTGCCGCCGCCGAACTCGCCACCACGACGGCCCCTACCGCATCGGCCGCTTCCACCTCTTCCGGCCCAAACCATGGGGCCGGTGTGGCCCACCTGCCACCTCCGTCCACCTCGACCCCCGACGTCGCCATCACGGCCGAGGTGGAGGAACTCCTAGGCCAGACAAGTGAATCCCCGAGCACCCGGGGCCCCCCGAAGACCGGGCCTTAAAGGGGGGGGGGGGGGGGGGGGGGGGAGTGTGGGAAGCCGAGGAGAGGTCCTCGATCGATGGGGCGGCAGTATAAAAGAGCAACCCACAATATGTAGCAGCACTTTTCACCCAACAATATAGATCGACTTGACATGAAGCAATGACCTGTGGGACGTTTTGCCTTATTATTTTTTTAGTCATTATATCGCAAATCAAACCAGACATACCATTACTACGTCATATTAGAGCGCAGCTCTTAAGCGCACGTTTACGGCTAGAGCGGCGTCGCCGTCGACGTCGCCTTCGTCGGCGTCGGTGTAACTGCGCGTTGCATTATGGGTAAATTTCCCCGCTAAAGTCAGCGAGAAAATTCCCCCGCTAAATTTAGCGCAAAACTTTCCCACGTCAAATTTAGCGCAAAACTTCCCCCGCTAAATATAGCAGGAAAACTTTCTCGCTAAATTTAGCTTAATAATTTCCCCGTTATATTCAGTTAAAAAATTTCTCCGCTAAATTTAGCGGAAAATTTTGCCACAGGAGTTAGCGGAATAATTTTCCCACTAAATTTAGCAGAATATTTTCTTGGCTAAATTTAGCAAAAAATTTCCCCCACTAAATTTACCGGAAAACTTTTCCCCGCTAAATTTGGCGGGAAAGTTTGCAAACATTTCCCGCTAAATTGGAGGGGAAAAGGAGAGGAAAGTATGGAGGGAAGGGTATGCCCCTCCTCCCCGTCCCTACCCTCCCCTCCTCCTCCTCAAAAGCTGCGCTCTATTTCGGTATTACAGAGAATTGTAAACGTCTATTTTTTGTGTATTGTGGCTAGATTTATCCGACAGACTTTTTCGCTCAAAGATTTCTTACCAGCACACTTACAAACGACGAAAGAAAAGCTGGCTCCTTAATTACTGAACTTTGCCCTTGAGGTCGCTCTGTGTGCGATACGCACACGCATAAAAACGCAAGAATGTGGTAGTAATGACGATTAGCTCTGCGATTCCAATCGCCATGTGGAACCTGGGGTAGCCGCAGTCGACGAAAAGCGGAATCAGGTCGTGAGCAAACATGATGCCAAATTGTACGAGTTGAAGCTGCGTCAAGTGGCGCTTCCAACAGAGGTACGGTCGGAGACTGGGTCCCAGAAGAGACAGGAAGTAGTACGAGTACATGATGACGTGTATGAAACTGTTAATGCAGATTCCTAGGGCGGGCTGACCGTCTGCACCGTAGGCGAGGCCGTACCAGCAGTTGAAAACCACTATGGCGTGGTGTGAAACATGGAGAAAAGACACGTGGGAGTCTTTCTTGCGGAGAATAAAGAATACGGTGTCCAGGAGGTCGGCAACTCTCACCCAGACGTACCACCAGCAAAGCTCCAGGTACTCCATAGTGACCTTGTCCCTAGCCTCGAAGTCGATGCCCTGGCAAACAATGTTGTAACCACCTCCCAGGTAGGATCTGGATAAGAAGTTGGTGACGAAGTAGACGTTGGCGATGACCATGGACAGGTTGTAGAGGAGGATGAACGGCTTGAGGTCATTGTATGGCTTGCGTGTCTTCATAAGCCTGGGTCCGGCAATCTTGACTAGGTACACGTAGCCGGTGATTACTGTGACAAGAAAGGTCTTGTTGCCGACCAGCACCCAACCCTTGGTGCGGGGGTCACGCCGGGGAAGGATGTCAAAGAGATCCCAGCCGAAGTTCGCGGAAGCCATGTTCGACTGTGCTTGTTTTTCCCGGAAGCGCTTGTGAGTGTGCCTCTGTGTTCGGTGCCAGCGCAGCTGGCGTCGCTTCTATTTCACGAACGAAAAGGAACAGAAGCGATCTAGCAAAAACAACAAATCAGGACAGTACTTTTTTTGCAGACTTTGACGAAGTCAGACCTCGCACGTGTACTGCGCTCGTCAGGTATACTCGTTGCTGATGTTTTAAGCCCTCTGCCGACATCAGGCACTATTTCATTTCAGTTATTTGCATCTCACGAGCGCCCAAGGGCATATGTTGCGCTTTTTGGACGCCCACGGTGACTAGGGAGAAGTAAGATACGTCAACAACCTAGCAACCGCAGATTAGAGGTTGATTGGTGAGAGTTGCTGACAACGAATTTCTGCAGAAGGAAAAAAAAAAAAAAAGTGAGCTTTGTTTTCATCTGCAGAAATTCGTCATCAGCGACTATCACCAATCAACATCCAATCTGCGTCTGCTGCGTTGTTGACGTCACATAATTCTCCCTAGTCGCCGTGGCGTCCAAAAAGCGCAACATAGGGCTCCAGGATTTGCTTAAATGATTAAGAAAATTTATTTTGAACAAAACCCCGAGACTGGGGGGTAGGGGGGGGGGGGGGGGGGGGACAAAAGATTACACTTTTCGTCCCTCTTTTGCAATTGATTTACTTTACTTTATCGCATAGAATCACGTAGACAAAACGCTGACTGGTGAAGAAAAATATTTCAGTATCTTAAATTGCAGCTGCATAGTTGTTCTTCAAAATCGCATCAAAATACGTTGCAGGTTGTTTTTGTTTGATTAAGTGCATTCACAAAATAGGACATCGTAAAATATAGGCCAAAATCTTTATACCGGATTTAGTCCAGCTCCAAGATATTTACTTTTTTTTTCCCTTTGATCACAGCTGTTCAAAATAAACGGTAACCATACATGTTACTGAGAAGGTTTTGTAACCTTAATTGGTATGAAACACTTCCAAAATATCATTCCTTTATTACTTGGCGCACGTGTTTGCTGCAAACAAAACAAGTTACTGACAACGCACCAGTGTTTTCTTTACAAATTTACTGTCTTAATAAAGTTGGACAAACAGTCATATCTTTGCCAAGAGAAGGAGCTCGAAACTTCATCGAAGGAATATTTACAGAGGACAATGTCAGACACAAAAGATTAATAGTCGGCGGGGAAGTTTAACTGCACTATACAAGAAGATCGGGATGAAGGAGGCACCCCTCAAAAACTATGCGCTGGTTAACGGCGCCAAACAGTGTGTCGCAACCGTAGCATCAAGTTTTGTTCCAATCGGCAGAAGTCCGGTTCAGGGGGTCCTGAGCGACAGTAAAACTTACAAAAGAATACCGCGTCATTCTCCCCTGACCCGCGACCACGGTTCTCATCCTGTCTGGTAAGAAATATAGAGCGCGGCCACGGATTCTGGCTCGGCCCGAACACACTCCCATTCACCTCCCATTTCGTTCGACAATTTGTGTGCAGTGGCGCGGTGGAGGGGACGTCGTGACATGGCTACTCTGATGCGCCTCCAAACCTGTTCCATGATATCTAGATCGGCTCCTTTTGGGGTCCAAGGCAGCTTCGTCAGGCAGCGCTCCTCGAGGAGATACGACAGTGACAACGCATTTTCCCCTTCGGCGCTTTCTTGAGATGCACTGAATTGCATGTTACCTGAAAACATGAGCATTAGCTACACGGCACACGCACCGTGATGGTGGTTCCGTCGGCCAATATTTTCGCTAGCAGACGGTCGGAAGAGCGCAGCGGCGCAGTGAGCGCAAGTGAGAATTTATCTCGGCCTCAGGGTGCACCGTTCTTACGGAGCGATGCGACAGGCGGCGCAGGTAGTACCGTAAACAGGCCCGAGCGCTGTTTCAGCTCATATTGTCCGCGATAGTACATAAGGGGCTCCGCGTGGCGATCTGCAGTCAATCTCGCCCCAGCGTTCGACTCTGCTGTTACGACGATTTCGACGCCCGCGACGCTCTGTTATTTTCTTTTGTACCCTTTTATTTTTGGCACACGTTCGCCACGCGTTCATTTCTTCCTGGTCATTTATTGTTTTTTGGTCACTCCCCGTGACAATATCGTCTACATAGCGCCGTAAGAGGATGAAGAACGGCTTTGAATGAGACCAACTTGACGCGTATCCAAAAAGCCAAGGTAAATCTCCGAAAGGACTGGGGCCTTGGCCGAACCAACACATATTCCTTGTTTTTGAATGAAATCTTGACTATCGTACTTTACCACCGTTGCCTGGAGGTACAACTCTAAAATTCAAAGGCAATCCGGTACCGAAATTCCAGACTGTAATTGAAACCTTACGAGGTCGTTTTCCGAAAAATTACTAACTCGGTTGAGAAGAGTGTTGGGATCTAGAGAATAATACAGGTCCTTTATATCCATCGAAAAGGCCGAACAAGGTCCCTCATGAAAGGGCTGCAGCTCAGTAACCAAATAATCTGAAGAACGTAGTGAGAATGAACTTCTAACTTCCAAGGCCGACAAAGCATTTCGAAGGAAAGAAGATACCAATTTTTGCCAGGTGCCATTTTTGTTGACCACTACCCGGAGGGGAAGCTCTACCTTGCAGTCTTTTAGAAAAAACTTAAAACAAAAAAAAAAAAACTTAAAAAAAATTTAGCGGCTAACATAAAGGCAGAAAATAACATAACAGGAAGGGCGCTACAAAACAAGCGAAGTTATTAATAAAGTAAGCAGTAATTTTATAAACCTAATGGAGCATTCCGCTCAGCGACTTAAATATATCGAACGCGTGCTTAATTTGTAACTCTGCTGCGGGTTTAAGATACATAGGATGTTTGGAAATATTTAGCACAACATGGCTGTACACAGATTTTATTTGCCAAATCTAATTTCAATGGGGGTTCTGGAGATAGAGAGAATTCCAAAAGTGCACCAATTCCCCAAAAAGGTATGTGTGTTCACTTCCCTGCAGAACACGCAGGCAGTCAATCCCCGCCAACAATAGAACCACCCTTGCGAACTATTTACATACTTTGTCGTCGTAAAGAAGCGTGCATGAATGGATGCAGAAGTTTAAGAAATGACTAACAGGTGTCAGCGATACAGAAGGAGCCGGACGTCCGTCAGCGTCCATGACTGACGTCGACATTGAGCGTGCATGTGAAGTGATTATTTCGGATAGACGAGGTGTATGATTAGACAAATAGTTTGCAAACAAGTTAGGGCTCTACCTATGGAATGATTCATGAGAGGCTTGGTCTGGAAACGTGAACATTAAAATAATCTCTACACTCAGAGTACGGATTATGTTTTCAATCACTTTCGTGATAAGAATGACCTGCTAGCGTCGAGTGCTCTGGGAAGATGCTGAGGGCATGTAAGGAGGGGGGGGGGGGGGGTGCAAGACCCGCAGTTGTCACCCATGGAGAGGGCATATCCGTCGTCTTGCAGGGATGGAGAAAAAAAGAGGGGTGTGTGTGGGAATTAGGATGTAATGATGAGGATGCAGTATTATACATATAAGTCAATTCTGTGGTGGAAGCGACAGGTTGTATGTATCCCCACTGCCGGTCTAAATCTCTGCCCGCGCGTGCGTTTCTCAGAAGGGTTCTGAATTCGTCCAGCCGAGGCTCCACCGAGGTCCCAGCGCACAAGGCCCGGCCCGGCCAACAGCAGATCATCACCGCCGCTTTCACTATTGATAATTTCAGGTACACAGATAGACTGAGAGAAGCCAAAGCTTGGATGCGTGATTGGTTGCCTCTAAAAGATCGATTAGGACCTTAATTATGTTAATCCTTTTCGTCCGGGAGCCCATCCAGAAGAGTAGAGCGTAGGAATGTCCTGGGGACATGTGCAGCAACCTCAATGTGCTAGAGAACGTAGGTCATTGTGTACTTAGCGCGTGGAAGTCCCAGATTATGTGTTACCTACCTTCGATCGAGTCGCATGAATTGCATTGTGGTATTTTCAGTTTTTTCGATAAGATGGAGTGACTTGTTAGCAGACGTGCAGTTGGCTCGTAACCGGTGTAGAAGGGCTTGTTGCTTTTTGGATAATTTATTCGTGAAATAAGAAGGGAGATCGGCGCTGCGTTAAATTCACAATATTGGCGTGTGCTTCATATTGCTGTTGAGATTAAAGATCTTGCTGCGTGGTGCTACGTGCGCGCCGTACGAGCCAGCGGTACGAGCTACGTTTCCCGACCGACGGAGAGCAACCCGACACCCCCGGTTTCACGAGCGGGGCCCGGCGGAATTTCCCTCTCCTGGCTGAAACATAAGCAGCGGCTGACCACCACCGCCCCCGGCAGGCAGAAGATGCTCTGTGCTGGTTTTGGCTGGACGCTTTTCTTTGCCTCTAATAAACTCACTTGACCGCATCTTGAGCCACCGTCACTCTTAAAATGCACATCAGTGGCGACTAGACAGATATTGGATCTTCGCGCGATCAACAGCGTCAGTGAACTGCCGCAGCACAACCCATAGACCATACCGCTGAGTTGGAACGGAGTTCTTGTCAACATGTAGGTCAAAACAGGTTACTCAGTACCAGTCCTTTCGGTAAGTGTTTACCAACAAAACCATCAGTCAAGGCCTAAAATGACCACTTGCCAGACGAAGCTATTGTGTTACCTGGGAGCCCTACACGTTAAAAGAGTTCTCCACATGACAGTGAAACACGAAGGAGAGATCGAGTGCAAAGGCGTCAGTCTACGTCTTGGACTGCATTGGACCGAGTCTGTGCAGCCGCGACGTAATTGGAGCGCTGCGTCTACTCCAGAAGATCAACTTCGCTCAGTTGGAAGACCGGGTCGACGAACTCAAGACGAAGTTTGGCGAGTTGTTCAAGCCTGGAGTAGGCGAAATGGAGGGACCTGGAACCACCATTGCACCTGCACCTTCGCCAAGACGCCAGACCAAGATTATTCAAGGCAAGATCTCTTTACTGCGCGCTGCAAGACAGGGTTGCAGCTGAGCTCGACCGTCTCTGCCAAGAAGTAATCCTGTCGCCGGTGACACATTCTGAATGAGCGACTTCCATCGTGCGGGTGATGGAGAAAGACGGTTCCGTGAGTATCTGTGGGGACTTCAAAGTCACACTAAACCCTGCCTGTGGCATTGAACACTACCCTCTCCCAAGAATCGAGGACTTGTTCGCATCACTGAATGGCGGAGAATACTTCTCGAAACTGGACGTGAAGGATGCGTACCAACAG